TGGTTTTTTTTTTTTTTTTTTTTTTTGTTTGTTTGTTTTCCCCAGATGAGTTTGGAGCCGAGGGTTTCTCGGTTCCGGGCCCCTCTCATGGAGGCTCCTTCAGGGCCGACCCTCACTCAGAGGACCAGAGTTCGGCTCCGGGTCCCGCCCCGGGAATCGGCTTCGCTTCAGGTCCCGGGTCAGTTCCGACGGGCCCCCCCGCCACGAACTACAACAACATCCAGATCCCGCCGGGGGCCCACGCTCCAGCCAACACTCCAGCAGAACCTTCAGGTCCGACACAAAACCACCAAAAACTCCTCAAACCAGATTTAATTATCAGCTGAAGCTGAAACACTTCCATCTGTTCTTCTTTAATAAAACCTCTGTAAACTGCTAAAGGTTCTCAGACTGATGAAGATTTGACTGCAGCTGTTTGGGTTTTATTTCACTTTAAATCCTAAATCTGCAAAAGCTTTTATTCACTTTTCTTTCAATTTAACCTTTATTTAGGATTTATAGTAGGAAAACAAAGAAGAACCTGCAAACAGTCAATGCCGAATCTGCTGAGTCACTGCAGAATCTGCTGAGTCACTGCTAGAGTTGTTTTGTTGTCAGATCATCTCGTTTGTTTTGGACCCCCTGTCTGAAGACAAACAGTTAAGTTCATTTAAACTGTGAGCTGGTACAGGAAGTGGAAACACACTGCAAAAACTGTCCATCTGACCAAGTTTTAAAATCATGTCCTGCCAAAAAGTCTTTTTTGATCTTGTTTATAGACTGATTTACTAAACAAGAACTGATTGTGTAAGAATAATAATCTTGTTTTCATAATGTGTAAGATTATTTGTCTTGTTAGTCTGAAAATTTGACTCAAATTAAGTAAAAAATTTTCTGCCAATGGAGTAGGAAAATTTTACTTGGTAAGATTCTTGAAATACTTGATTTGACTCAATTTTTTCTTATTTCAAGAATCTTACCAAGTAAAATTTTCATACTGCGTTGATAGAAATTTTGACTTTATTTGAGCCAAATTTTCAGGCTAACAAGACAAATAATCTTACACATTCTGAAAATAAGATGATTATTCTTACACAATCAGTTCTTGTTTAGTAAATCAATCTCTAAACAAGATCAAAAAGACTTTTTGGCTGATATAAGATTTTAAAACTTGGTTATGTGGACATTTTTTGCAGTGTACATTCAGCTGATTTATTCTCTGTGTTGGAGAGCGTCGGACAGCGAGCTCGGCCCTCGCCCAAACAAAGGAGGCGTCGCCTGCCGCAGAGCAATTTATCTCCTCTGAGACGTCGCTTTTCATTCTAATAATTCCTGTCGTCTTAAAGTCGATCAAAACCAGGTTTCAGGGAGAAAAATGGCAGAAATGAGTTTCTGTAGAGCTCGTGTCTCTGAACGTTCTCCTTCACTCTCATGTTTCGCTCACAGTCAGAAGTTTAATCTCAGAGGAGTGGAGAGTGGAGCAGCAGAGCTGAAACATGATGATCCAGCTCCAGCTGAGACGTTTTAATAAACATTAAAATCACAGGAAGTTCTTTGACTTTTTGTTTTTTATTCTTCTTGTTTTGATCAGATGCTTGTAAACCTGCAGCTGCAGCCCGATCAGGTCCAACTGTCGACCCGTCTCTGCTGAACGCCCAGCAGCAGGGTGAGAAACACACCACTAATCATTTTATATCTAAAATACAATAATAGATACACTCACCGGCCACTTTATTAGGTACACCTGTCCAACTGCTCGTTAACACTTAATTTCTAATCAGCCAATCACATGGC